TCTGGCCAAGTGGTGGTCAGAAGAGCCAGGGACATTTGTCTCTGCCTCCAACTAGCTGCGTCATCGTGGGCAAATGCGCTCACCCCTCTACCGCTCAGTGGTCTGATCTGAAAAATAGGGATATTAACAGAGCCTATGTTTGTGTTGACTGCGCAGCAGGATACTTCAAAGCTCGTAGATTTACTTGGTGAAGTAAATTTACTCCAAGATTTACTTGGAGAAGGCTCTTCAGAGTCCCTTGGACTACAAGGAGATCAAACCAGTCAATCCTAAAGGAAATCAACCCCGAATATTCACTGGAAGGACTGATGCTGAAGCTGAAGCTCCAACACTTTGGCCACCTGGTGCGAAAAGCGGACTTGTTGGAAAAGATCTGATGCTGGGAAAGATTGAAGGCAGGAGGAGAAGGGGACGACAGAGGATGAGATGGTTGGATGGCATCATCAACTCAATGGACATGAGTCTGAGGAAATTCCAGGAGATAGTGAAGGACATGGAAGCCTTGCGTGCTGTAGTCCATGGGGTTGCAGAGGGTCAGACATGACTGAGCGACTGAACGACAACAAAAGGGAAGGTGATGGTCACAGGTTAAACCATAAAATTAAGGCAAAGGGCATGCATTTTTAACACTATTGATAAATTACTCACAGTTCTAAAAAGAAGCCCTCTTCTTTTCTGTCTCTTTAAGGTCACCTTCTTCCTACTTCCTTGCGCCTCTGTACCATGCCCTGTGAGCAGCCCTTCTGAGGCCTGATCCCACTGCCTCCACTCCTGCCTCTGTCAGTCCCAGGCTACACCGGTCCCCCGGCGCTGGCCTCAGGCCAGGGACTCAGCTCCACGAGCCAGTGAGGTGCTCTGAGACTTGCCCTTATATTCCCTTTGCGTCATGTTCTGTGAACATTAGCTATAGATCAATTTTATTTCTGGCTCTAGATTAAAAATGATTTGAAGAAAAAAAAATGATTTGAATTTATTGGATTACAGGCTCCAATGAGTGGACCTGAGGCCAGCTGGGACCTGAAAGTCTGCCGTAGCCTGGGCCTCCTTTATAGAGAGTGAAATAGGAAGAGTGTTGCCGTGGGGCCCTGGTCCTGTCACTGGCGTCCTTCCTGCTTCCCTCTCAGGGCCTCAGCCTCCTCTCCTGTGAAACGCAAGTTGGCAGTGACCCCCTAGGCCCTCTAAGCGTGCTCAGGTGCTCAGCCGTGTCCATCTCTTTGTCTCCCCATGGACTGTAGCCTGCCAGGCTCCTCTGGCCATGGGATTCTCAAGCACGCTGCAGTGAGTCGCCATTTCCTCCTCCAGGAGATCTTCCTGACCCAGGGATCGAACCTGCATCTCTTGAGTCTCCTGCATTGGCAGGCAGACTCTTTTTTTTTTTCCATTTATTTTTATTAGCTGGAGGCTAATTACTTTACATCATAGCAGTGGTTTTTGTCATACATTGAAATGAATTAGCCATGGATTTACATGCATTCCCCATCCCGGTCCCCCCTCCCACCTCCCTCTCCACCCTATCCCTCTGGGTCTTCCCAGTGCACCAAGTCCGAGCACTTGTCTCATGCACCCAACCTGGGCTGGTGATCTGTTTCACCCTAGATAATATACATGTTTCGATGCTGTTCTCTTGAAACATCCCACCCTCGCCTCCTCCCACAGAGTCCACAAGTCTGTTCTATCCATCTGAGTCTCTTTTTCTGTTTTTGCATATAGGGTTATCGTTACCATCTTTCTAAATTCCATATATATGTGTTAGTATACTGTAATGGTCTTTATCTTTCTGGCTTACTTCGCTCTGTATAATGGGCTCCAGTTTCATCCATCTCATTAGAACTGATTCAAATGAATTCTTTTTAATGGCTGAGTAATATTCCATGGTGTATATGTACCACAGCTTCCTCATCCATTCGTCTGCTGATGGGCATCTAGGTTGCTTCCATGTCCTGGCTATTATAAACAGTGGGCAGGCAGATTCTTTACCACTAGCGCTACCTGGGAACCCCTAGGCCCTCTAGCCAAGACCTCAGTGATTCTCTGTAGAGCTCTGTTTGCTCACATTCAAAACAGCTGTACAGATGTTCAACTGTGTTGTTGTTAAAATCTTGGCAGTCAAACCAGCAGCTTGAAGGATAGCAGCTTTCATGGTCCTGCTTTTGAAGTGTTCTGAGTGGGACTTCTCTGGTGGGCCAGTGATTAAGAATCCACCTGCCAGTGCAGGGGACTTGGGTTCTATCCCTAGTCCGGGAAGATCCCACATGCTGAGGGCAACTAAGCTCCTGTGCCACAAGTATTGAGTCTGTGCTCCAGGGCTGCAACTACTGAAGCTGAGTACCCTAGAGCCCGTGTTCCACAACAAGAGAAGCCGCCACAATGAGACGCCCGCACATCATGACTAGAGAGCAGGCCCCACTTACTGCAGCTAGAGAAAGCCTGGGTGCAGCAATGAAGACCCAGCATGGCCAGAAAGAATAAATAAATAAAATTAAACTAAAAATAAAGTATCCTGAAATGACTTGGGGAAATGGGTCACAGGCTTGACTTCAGCAGACCTGATTTATTTCACACACTCTACAACATTTGCACATATCACACACAAGGCTCTCTTGGGAGTGGTGGTGGTGGTTTAATCACTAAGTCGTATTTGACTCTTGTGACCCCATGGACTGTAGCCCGCCAGGCTCCTCTGTCCATGGGATTCTCCAGGCAAGAAACCGAAGTGGGTTGTCATTTCCTTCTCCAGGGGATCTTCCCAACCCAGGAATTGAACCCGGGTCTCCTGCATTGCAGGCAGATTCTTGGAGAGAGTCATGGGATGGGAGTGCATATGTTTGGAATTCCTGTATGTGGACCAGACTTTCAAGGAAATCACATTCCACAAACATCTCCCTTATTATTGCTTCTTTTATCAGCCCATCTTGGTAGTTGGATACCCCCTGCTTCTCAGTAGTAGAAACCAATTGCTATTTTAAAGGCTCCGAGAAACTGAGTGACTAGACAGTGATTACAAAGAAACCCCAAAGACACTGCTGTTGAAAGTGCTGTAATCTAACTTTAAGGCCACACATGGGACAGCCAGTAATTCTCTTGCAGGAAGTAATTATTCATCACGTCAGCCTCATATCAATCTGAAGACCCAGTAGGATGATCAGCTTTTCCTGAATTGCCTGGGGATTTCTTGGTTTTGGCATCCCAAGTTCCCAGGAATCCCCTAAGTCTGAGGGCACCAAGACAGTGGGTCACCCTCATACTCAGGATTCTTAAATTTCAGGGTATGCAACAATCAATAAAAAAAAAAGTGAAGTGAAAGTGAAAGTCAAGCCAGTCATGTCTGACTCGTCGAAACGCCATGGACTGTAGCCCTCTTGGCTCCTCTGTCCACGGGATTCTCCAGGCAAGAATACTGGAGTAGGTAGCCTTTCCCTTCTCCAGGGGATCTTCCTGACCCACGGATGAAACTCTAGTCTCCAGCATTGCAGGCAGACTCTTTACTATCTGAGTCACCATGAAAACCCATATGTGTTATTAAAACTTGAGATTTCTGGGGTGAGAGATACTAATGCCAAATGTCTTCCTTATCTAAGAAATACTGGTAAGAACTTATTATAAATTTATCATCCCTGGCATTTGGCTACCAATGATTCTTGAACTCATCTGCACATCAGAATCACCCGGGGAGATTTTTTTTAAAAATACTGATGCTTGATTTGATCCAAATCAGTTAAATTAGAATTTCTGGGGTGTGCAGTCAGCCCCCTCTCACACTGGGAGAACCACCAGTACAGACAGCAGATACAATGACTTATTATTTACTTTCAGATCTTTGGTGCTTAAAAGCTCAGCTTCCACCTGGTTGTGGCCCACCCACTTTCCACCATTTCCCCTCTAGCTATAATATAGGAAAACTACTTTGGAGTACAAGATGGCACCATCAGCTGAAACTGAGGACAGCATCACTTCTAGGTATAAAAACACAGCTTTTGGATAACTGTGTAAGAAATACATACAGGAATGTTAACTGTGGCTTGGATTGTAATGGCAAGAAACTGGAAACCATCTAAACGGCCATCAGCAGGAGAGTGGATGAATACCTAGTGGTAATGGACTTGCCCGATTGAAAAATGCACCATAGTGAAAATGAGAGTATCCAAGCTACAGGTACCAGCATCGGAACAAAATGACCATAGATTTTTTCTAAAGTTAAAGGCTAATGTGACTGGCTTCCCTGGGGGTCTTAGAGGTGTCACTTTGCCGATAGATTGTTTTGTAGCCAAGGATTCCTGGGCACACCGTGGCAGCAGTTAAACAAGGTTGCACAGTCTAGAAGCCTTGTGCCAGCTTGTAGAGCTCATTTTGCCCGTTTTGCAATCTTAAAATATCTGCACTGCAATCCAGAAGCTGGGACTGACATTTCAGTGCCAGTTCCTGAATTGCTTTTGAACAGGTACAAAGTCTGATGCTGCGTTTTCATTCATCATCCCTCTGGCTGTCTACATACAGAGATAAATTCATTAGGAAGGCAGATGTTGGACTTCCCTGGTGGCTCAGTGGTAAAGAATCCGCCTGCCAATGCAGGAGATACATGGGTTCGATCCCTGATCCTGGAAGATCCCACATGTTGAGGAGCAACTAAGCCCGTGTGCCACAGCTATTGAGCGTGTGCTCCAGGGTCCGGGAGCCGCAACTACTGAGCCCACGTGCTGAACTTCTGAAACCCTTGCACCCTAGAGCCTGTGTTCTGCAACAGGAGAAGCCGCTGAAATGAGAAGCCCTCCCACTGCAACTGGAGAGTAGCCTTGCTTCACCACAAGTACAAAAAAAGCCCGCAGAGCAACCAAGAACCAGCACAGCCAAAAGTAAACATATAAATCCATATTTTAAAAATTATGAGAAAAAAAAGAAATGCAGATGTCACAAGGAAGCCAGGACTTTAGGATGGTTCATCTTGTTCGGCTTTTCTAAGCAGCTGCCAAATGTTTATTTCCAGAAAGAGCCACAGAGCCTACCTGGTCCTAGTTTGGCCACAGCATAGAGGAGGTCATAGTTAAGGACGGGTGTGGCATCGCTGATGGGCTGCCAGCCGACGGGCGGAGAGGCAGGGGGTGAGATGAGGAACTGTTTGGCAGGCTGTGGTGGAGCCAAATGCAGTTTGTCTCCGTCTGTCTCTGGAGCCTGAACCTTTCAAACACAGGAGAAATGAAGGCGCATTATTCATTTTGGCCTCGGATATGCCGTGTTGTTCCACTGGGATGCAGAGCCTGGCCTTTAGCCTGTGACAAATGAGCCAATGAACCAGGCTGCAATAATAATGACTACTGACCACTCTCACTTGATTCTTAAAACAGTGGATCTCAGCCTTTAGCTGCACAAGAATGACCTGGCAAGCTTACTAAGACAGAGTGCTGACTCCCACTCCTGGAGTTTCTGAGTCAGTTGCCGGGGTCAGGGTCAGAGAATCTGCATTGCTAACGAATTCCCAGGTGATGCTGATGCTGCTGGTCCTCAGACCTTTCCTTTTCTTCCCTTCTTTCTCTCCCCTCTGTGTCCCTCCCCTCCTTCCCATCCTGCCTTCATATCCTTTTCCCTTCCTTCCATCTATCTCTCTCCCTTCCTCTCTCTTTCTCTTTTAATTGAGGTGATATTCACATAACTTGAAATTAAGCCATTTTAAACTGAACAATTTCGGTGTCATTTAGTCTATGACCCGTGCTGTGCAATCACCACTCCTATCAAGATTCAAAGTACTTTTATTACTCCAGAGGAAACCCTGGACCCATTAAACAGTTACTAACATTTCTGTCTCCAGTAGTTGTGATGAGCCCATTCTTATTACAAGTATTAGCTGGTCTTTACTGGGCATTTATTTACAAAATGCTAAGCACTTCAACAAACAACAAGTCATTTAATCCTCATGACAGTGTAAGGAGTATGTCATCATCCCCATTTTGCAGATGGGGAAACTGAGGCCCAGTGAGGTTATATAACTTGCCTAGATTAGAACTAAGGCTGTCGTGGGCCCTCAGAGCCTGTTTTCTAAACCACTATGTTGTCCCTGCCTGGGAACCATGATATAAATTTATTTTTTAGTGAACTAATTACAGACTACAAAGCAATCTGAAAGTAGCAAGGGATTCATTTACATTTTGAAAAGGTAAAAAGACAACGTAGGGCAGATGGATTAATTCTGGAAAAGAATGATCTTACCTGGGCAAAGTAGAGTTTCAACTTTTTCCCTCTGAATTGGGTTTCATGAAGCTCTATCCTGGCTCGGGCTGCAGACTTGGGATTGCTGAAGTTTATTCGGACACGTCTGAAACTCTTAAACAGTTGGAACGTCACACAGTCATCGTAAGTCCGGAACAGACCCTCAAATTTCTCCTGATAAAAACAAACACAGAGGAAAATCCATTGGTCACATATCTTGTCTGATGCCAGATGTGACAAAAACAAATGAGCAAGTAAATAAATAGGCTCTTCCTAACACAAAATTCAAACAGAACACTGTAACATATTTTTTCCATCTGTTGATCTGTAACCAGGTGCTAAACATGCCTGTGGATTCTGTCATAGGGTTCATAATCTGGGTTCAGGGATTCATAGGAAAGAAGTGAATGGGGTTGGAAATGCATGAAAAACTGACAATTATGTTGAGTGTTTCACCACAGATGTGTTTGTTTACGGGACGGGTATCAGAACGGTCAAAGGTTCTCAAAGGAGTCCATTATCTCCAAAATATTAGACCTACTGAGTGAATCATGTGGTCAACATTGCTAGTAATCGTCAAGTTTGAGGACACTGTTCTTGCCTAAAAATATGAGTTCACACAACCCCAAACACTTCTACTAGTCAGGCAGTGCTGTGTGATTAGTTCCGGCCAATGAGATGGGTACAGAAGGCAGGAAAGCCCTTTAGAAAATTTTCAGCCTCTTTCCCTGAAGATGCCATGTGCTCTAGACGGTAGGAGAGTCAGAATAGGATTTTTCTCAGCCTGGGTCCTGAGTGGCTCTGTGGAGCAGAAATACCTTCTTCCCAAATCCCACCCCACATAGCTGACTTTGCCTCAACAAAGGAAAAGAACTCTCTACTGTATTAAAACTGAGATTTGAAAAAAATACAACAATAAAACTGAGATTTGTGAATTAGTTTATTCGTGCAGCACCACAAAACCTATCACAAAGCAATAATTTAAAATTTTTGGTTTGATACAAACTTCAATTCAACTGAGCAAATATCTATTCAATGCTTACTTTATACAAAGGATAGTCTCTGAGTCTTAGGAGGATACAGAAGTGAGAATCATTTTGTTCCAACTCTCAATGATCTAATAATCTAAGGTGACAGGCAGGCAGACACAAATAAGAGAACACCCATAAGACTGGTAAAAGACATAAAAGGAAAACTAAACAAAATATATGAACACCATCTATCTGGTTCCTCTTAGCTTCAAAAAAAAGATTATTGTGAGAAACAAAAACATGTTAAGATACTCTGTATTCTTAATGGAGAAATAGCCACTAAGGAAATAACTTCTATTTAAAAAAATGGCTGATTCTTTCATTTCTACAATAAAAGATATTTTGTCACAAGGGTGAGTTCAAGTAGGAATGAAGATGCATGAAAGATTAATACGGCAAGATTCACTGCACTAGGATTTGTAAGGGACCTAAGAGATAATTAACTCAGCCTTTCCCTTCTCAACTCCATCATTTTACAAATCAGGACCCTGAGGTGTGAAGAGATGAGGGCCTGCCCACAGACACCCAGGCACTTGCTGGCAGAGCCAGAACCAGAATACAGAGATGTTTTCAATTACATCAGTAATTACCCTGCCAGATGGAGAGGAAGAGGTTGCTGCCTTAATAAAAGCAAGAGATGGAGAGCAATAAGCTGCCCCGGGCTCTTGTGTGACCATATCTAAGAGAATCGACAAGGTGATGTGGGGTGAGAGAACCACTGCCCTCCAAGGCCGTGTGGGAAGAGCGACTTGGATGTCCGGCGACGTCTTCCTGCCTCTTGCACAACCAAGTGAACTGGTCTCAGACCCTCAAGACCAAGGCTTGTGATCCTTCCAAAGGCTGCTGCCCATTCTGAGATTCTCCATTGCGTCCCCGGCCACTCGTGCATTTGTGCTAAGTCGCTTCAGTTGTGTCTCACTCTTTGTGACCCTGTGGACTGTAGCCTACCGAGCTCCTCTATCCATGGGATTTCCCAGGCAAGAATTCTGGAGTGGGTTGCCATGCTCTCCTCCTGGGGATCTCCCCAACCTAGGGATTGAACCTGTGTCTCCTGCGACTCCTCCATTGCAGGTGGATTCTTTATCACTGAGTCGCGGGGGAAGCCCATGGCCCACCACAGTTCCTCCCATTTTGACTCATGTCTACACACTTGTTTTCTTTTTTTGTATGCATGTATTAGCTTTTTTTGTTTATTTGTTTAGATATAAGGATGTTTATTGAAATGTGGCCATGGCAATATTTTTTTAAAGAATTTGAATGTCATGAATGGGAAAACTTTATTTCAAAGCATTTTGTCACAGTCTTTAAATTGAATAAAAGAGTTTTTACATTCTATCATGCTTTACACTTTTCAAAAGTTTCACTAACATGATTTCATGTAACTCCATTATACCCCTTTTCAAAATAGCTTTATTTTTTTCTCCAGTCTCACGACATTTGTGGAGATATTTGAGGGGTTCTTGCTTTACTTTTCAGGCTCTGTTCTTACTCCTCTTTCTCTAGCAAGAACAAAACAGAAATCTTTCCTTGTTTGTTCCTTAGGTAGTTTTTATTCTCCACTCTCAAGCCTTGGGATGAGCCAACTCCCAGGCCAGGGGCCTCAGTCACGAGTCCCAGGGGGTTTTCTTTCGATTTATTTATTTATAAAGTTTTAAAAAATTTTATTGACCTATTTATTGGCTGTGCTGTATCTTCATTGATGTGCAAGCTCTTCTCTAGTTGCAGCGAGCAGGGGCTATGCTATAATTGCAGTGCTCAGGCTTATTGTGGTGGCTTCTCTTGGTGAGCACGGGCTTGGCTCAGTCAGTTTCCGTTTCCGGGCTCTAGAGCACATGATCAATAGTTGTGGTGTACGGGCTTAGTTGCTCAGCAGGGTGTGGGATGTTCCTGGACCAGGCATCGAACCAGTGTCTCCTGAATTGGCAGATGGATTCTTCACCACTGAACCAGCAGGGAAGCTCCCCCAGGGTTTTTTTTAAGGCATTTCCCACCCCCCACTACTGTTTTACTGAACAAGGGTCCTGGTGAATAAAAATGTTTTCTGGTTCCTCGCGAAAGGAAATAGTCTCACCAGGTGAAATCCAAGATGGCGGTTTGATTAATTTGAGGCTTTTCAGGAATGGAAGGAATTAAACTGAAAGCTCTTATCTCTATCTTTTTGGACAAAATCTGTAGGTGTTCTTTGTGGGTCTATGGTTTTCCACTCCAGTCTAGGAGTTTCCTTCCTATCCTGCCCCTACCCTCACCCCAACACCAGGACCTCAGCATAGGTGTCAAGACCAGCCTTGGAGGGAGAGGTGTTTTTTCCTTGGAATCTAATTCTTTGCTTTTTGTCTTATACATCTTCTTTATGCCTCACACCTCAGCTGTTTAGCCTCAAAAGCCTGTAGGAGGAAGGAATGGAGGAGGCCAGGCTACAGGGTTAGGGCAGGGGTGACATGAATATCAGATGTCAGTGATGACGATAATTGTTTTCTCCACTACTTCTCCAAAGAAGGCTTCAGGCAGCAAGCTGGAGATGGGAAGTGACAGAAGGCTCTCTGATATGTCTTGTTTTGGGCTTAGACCAAAACAGCAAAGGAAGTCTTCCACCAGAACTGGGGTGTGTCCCAGAGCTCAGAGACCAGGGTTTTCACTGACCCATCTGGAGCCCATTTCTACAATGATAATAGTAATAAGCAACTAACATGTACTTGGCTTGTCCACTCTGCACAGGCCTTTTGAGAACTTGTAGTGTTGAGGGTGACAATTGGCCAAGCATTGGGAATTGCTGGTCATCTCTATTTTTTTCCACTAGTGACATGACAAGCATTTCATCTGCTAAGGCAGCAGGATGCCAGACAAAACTGGCGAGAGGCAGATCCAACTCAGTGAAGGTGCCAGGTGTATCCTCAGGCAAAGCCGTGACTTGATCAGAGCAAGTCCCGGGGGTCCTCCACTTGCTTTTACAGCAAATCTTCTATGGCTTTGATGCCCAGGTTCCCACCAGGGACACGGGAATATTTTTGTGTCCTCTGGCTGCAGTTTCTTCCAGCCTGGTACCCCACAAACCCAATAAATTCATTTCCTCAACAGTTAATCTCTTTTTAGCCACTGGCATAAAGAGTTTGCATAAAACTCTACAGCAGTGATCACAAACTCTAGTCTCTGGACTTCTTCACACAAATAAATAAGTGATAGAGGATCCTAAAGAACTGTGGTTTTATTTTTCAGTTTATTTTATTGAAGTATACTTGATTTACAATGTTGTGTTAATTTTTGCTGGGCAGCAAAGTGATTCAGTTATGTACATATATACACACATACTTCTTCATATTCTTTTCCATTATGGTTTATTCAGGATATTGAATACAGTTCCCTGTGCTTTACAATAGGACCCTGTTTTTTATCCATCCTATGTATAACACTTTCTTGTTTATGCTCAAATCTTTCAGTCATGTCTGACTCTTTGAGACCCTATGGACTATGGCAGCCCACCCGGCTCCTCTGTCCATGGAACTTTTCAGGAAAGAATCCTGGGGTGGGTTGCCGTTTCCTCCTCCAGGGGATCCTCCCAACCCAGAGATTGAACCTGCGTCTCCTGAGGCTTTTGCATTGCAGGTGGATTCTTTACCCGTTGAGCCACTGGGGAAGCCCATATAATAGTTTGCAACCTGCTAATCCTAAACTCTCAATCCACCCCTCCCAGGTTCATCTTAGAGCATCTTAAAACATTTTCTCAAGTCACCCAATGTATTTTAATACACCACAGAATGACTTTAAATGGACATCCCATTTTGTTATTCAGATTATTGAAAAGGCATGTGCTCACAAACAAAGATTGATAAAAATTAACAAGATTTATGGCTTCATCAAGGACATTCTGAAGTAAAATTGGTATTTTTATTTATTGAACTCTTTTTCCTTTTTTAAATAAAAACTTTGAGTGTGTAGTTGTGAAGACTACCAATACTAATAGTATAGTTCAATGCCACTGCATTGATTCAAACCAAAGTACCAGCAGTTTTATTCACATTTGCTTTCGCACCATGGGTGTTAAGTGTCAACGTGGCTGAAGAAGCAAATAATGTCTTATTATTATTATTATTGGAATATCAATAGTTTTGACCTCATGGGATATGGTCTTGGGAACTCCCAGGAGTC